TGTATGAGCTCATTAGCACTTTTGCCACCCAGAAATTTTGCAGTTTTTGATGGACCATTTCTCCTTGAATATTACACCCAAAGAGCTAAAAATTTCACCATGTACTAAGGTTTTCTAGCTCTTTAGCTGCCTGAAGTCAATTTGTATCTAACATGCTTCCTTCTTTACACAAAGTCGTATGCAAATGAGCAAAAATGTAAACAATGACGTCAGCATGAATCCGCCTATAGTGAAACGATCTCTGACCAGCAGCGGTTTTAAATAAAGGAATATTAAGTTGTTGGGAATTTCTTGTTATTTGGTCAGATATCTGCCTTCTTGTGGCAAACTGTGACATCAGATAGGTCGCGGCATGGTCTGTCATGCACCTTGAATTCTTGTTGAAGAATTAACAAGATTTCAAATCCCAGTAAGCCAAATGAACAAAATGAAAACAAAAATCATCTTTAGGGGGAAGTAATCCTATGGAAAGATACTAATCAAAACAAACATTTCTATTCAACCTTTTCACTCTTATGAGTGACCAATACAGAATTTCTCCTTACAATATTGATACAATATCAAGTAGACAAGTGATCAGAATAAGGAAAAAGAAAATCAGGGGATTGTCAGTTGATCCAATACCATATTCTCCAAACTACCATGATAAGAATTGTATGACAGACAGTAAGGAGATTTACTAATGACATCTTTGGAGGGAAAGGGTTAAAATTATTTGTTACTGACCTTTTCTTCTCCTGTCTCCTTTTCACTACCCGTTAACTTATGCACAAGTCCTTCAGCCACTTCCTCAGGGTCGGGCAATCTTCTCTCTAAATTTTCACCCACATTCCTCAAGATTTCATCACGGCAGGCAACAAAAACTCCTGTACCTTTCCTTGAACAAAGGGCACCGAGTACCTCTCCTGTTAATCAACAAAAAAAGGAGGAAAAGTTTCAAAATCATTTTACATTACTCTAAAAAAAAAATTATCCGTTGCGTAAGTGTTTGTGTGGATGGAAAGTGCCTTTTATGACTTATAAATCTTTTTAGAGTGAAAGTAGCTTTTTAATTTACTTCTTCCCTGATTTTACAGAGGGGGCCTTCCTGGGGGATACGCAAAATGATTCGCTGCTTGGATTGATTGCCAAATTAAAGTATGCATTGTCATAAATTGATTGCAGATACACTGGACACTGTTAAGATTCCAAAAAGATTTGCTTGTGCTAAAGACATTTTGGAAAATTTCGATTTGTTTGGGGGGAAATTTATATAATAACATAATAACGTAGGAATATCTCAGTCTATATATAAACTGGAAAATTTTACGCTGTTTGCTATGATCGAGCACCTCTCTAAACCTAGCTCTCGATTCTGAGATCACCTGAAGCAATCCTGACCCTCGCCTCTTCATCATGCATTAATCCCAACGATTTTTTTCTGAGTGTCTCACAGAAGTCATCTGAGCCGAGATTGTTCAAAATAAATGTTTTGCTCCCTATCAAACCACCATGTCTTGTCTCCCAGGCTCCATCCGTCGACGTCACAAATTCGGTTAAAGAGTTTTGCAAATCCTCTACTTGTCGTATATCTGAAGTGAAGTTAGAAGTATCTTTCAGTTTCTCTTCCAAAGCTAGTAGTCCTCTATCCCTTTCAAGCTTTACATGGCTACGGAGAAGATTTAAAATGTCACTTACAGATCTGTCCGCCATCTTTAGTTGTAGTAATCACACAGGGGATCATGGGAGGGATATATCACTTTTGACTACTGGGAGGGGAAGGGTGAGAATTGTGGTACTCGTGCTCAGCCGCTCAGTCAGTCCGAACAGACGTGGAGCTATACAGGTACAGTATACAAGTATGCACACACAAAAAAAAATCCTCCCCAGATACGTCTGCATGCTCCTAAATTCCAGGTACTTTTTTTCATCATATATATCACAGCATACCTAGATATAAGTACCAAGAGAGAGAGGCTGATGTGTAGCCGGCCTGCTGCAGCCCGCGCTTCCCTTCCCGCCTTTTCTTACCCTTTACCAGTCGTTAGCCAATCAAATGTTGGGTAGATGATGACGTTTAACGAGGAAAAAATTTGAGCTGAGTTCAGGAAAATTTTTGAATTTGCGTCCCGTCAAGTTTTCCCTCGCTGACACAGTAAAAATATTTCCAGTAACTCACGTTTAAATTCGCACTGACTCAAAATACTGTCGGGAGAAACTGAGAAGGTCGAAGACAGACCTGCTCAAAGTGAAGAGGTAAGCCGGTTGCCCTTGATACCAAGCGTGCATGGGCTAAAATTGTACTTTCAAGAGCTGCCACGATTTGCAAAATAACCTTTTGTATATTTCTGGAAAAATTTAAGTGAAATCTCGACTGTCAATTTTCATGCATTGTTTCGAGGAATTTTTTGAAAAGTTCGACGTTTCTTCAAATGTTGAATTATGGTATCCAGAGAGAAGAGTGCATTTGGTTTTTTTAATGACATGACTATATATGTCAGCCCTTTCGCGTTTTAACAAGCTTTATTTCATTGCAGGAAAAGGAAAAACAAGAAATAAAACAGAACCCTGACCATGGCGAGTCAATTGTCAGAGTATGAAATTCAACGACTTCACAACATAAAAAAGAACCACGAGTACATGAAAAGTCTAGGTGAGAATTATTATGAAGAATATTTCATTAACAAAGACATTAATGCCGAACATTTTAATTGTATGCTCTTTTAGTTAGCTGACTCTTAGATACTGTTATGATAAAAAAAATTGCTTATAAAAACTTTTAAACGTTTAGCCCAATTTAATACAAGTTGGAACTTCCCGTCAAAACTTTTAGAACAGTATACCTGGTTTTGAATGAGCAGAAAAGCCGATTTTTTTAAAAAAAAAAAAATATATATATATATATATAAAGTGTGACTTGATTTTCGTAGAACAGTGCTCAATACATAGAAGTAGAGCGAAGTATATATTGTGGGAGGAAAAAGACAAGTAAACTACAAGTTCATCCCTACAAGCCTGTTTCGTGGTCNCAATGTACAGATATTAGATTATGGTATATTGGCTCATATACCACAATGGATAAGCCAATAAAAAGTCTTGAACTGCATTATCCAATGATCCAGTTTTTAATAAATATATTTATTAAAAACTAGATCATTGGATAATGCAATTCAAGACTTTTTATTGGCTTAGCCATTATGGTCTATCAGCCAATATACCATAATCTACAAATATGGCAAGCGAACGTTTCAGCTTAAGATGAAAAGGGAGCTAAGAATTTAATAAAATTTAATAATTTAATTGAACGTTTTTAATAAAACAATTATTCCACTCGCGGTTGTTGGATATGAGATGATTATAGCCAACTCGGCGCTACGCGCCTCGTTGGCTATCTATCATCTCATATCCAACGCGCGCTCGTGGAATAATTGTTAAATATACATCTTAGTAGTATGCCGATACGTGTCATATACGAACTTGCTGTGGGCTTTTGCGGCTCAGTGGTAGAGCATCGGAGCCCAGAATCCGAACTGTCACGGTCTAGGATTCGATTCTTACTGATGATTCAAAATTGTTTTCTTTGGTCCCACGCTCGTGACAGGGGCGAAAAAAATCCCTCTTTAATTCTTTACCGAGCTCAAAACTTACCGTCTTTCTTATTCTATTTACAAAAATTGTAATCAATTCAGACTTACCTAAAAGTCACGTTTTTGAGTCAGTTGACTTGCGAGTATTGAGAGATTTTGCATGCAAAGGCGTACTTAAGGCTTTGAGAACTTCCCTGGGGACGCCTACGGCCAATCGGAATAGCTGCCACGGGAGTACGAGGTTATCCGATCTGCGGCGGCTTTTGCGCGAATTAGAATATCTCTGTGGAAATCACACTTTCTAGGAAAACTGATTTGATTGAGCAGTTAATCAGCCTTAAAACTCAATATATAGTACCTCCCTGTACGACTACTCCTTTCCCCACTTTTGAAGATGGAAATGTCTGCCTCAACGTCGCCTCTTTTTACCTATTTTCAGTACTACCTCTCGATAGCCTAATCTATTATGCAAATTTATTCATATTTATCAAATATTGGTTCTACATTCCCAGGACTTCCAGTTCCTGTAGTTCCAGCTGGGGTCCAAAGTCGTCCTCGTAGAGCGCCGGCTAAGAGATGCAAAACACTATCTATCGGCCAAGGTGGAGAGAGTTCAGATGAGAGTAGTGATGACAGTGATGACGACTGGGTTCCAGGGTCAGAAGAAGTCAGAAGAAGGAATAAAATGATAAAAAGGTTTATCCCAGGTAAATTGTTTTCCTTGAAAATATGTAAATCAATCTGGTTATATAACTGTAAAATGTAGCGTTTTTGACTGCTGACTTTTGATTGTTTCGGCAAAATCTCAAGGTGTGCCTGGTGTAGTGATGGCAATCTTTAGATTTTTCACTGTAATTCCCGCGTCTACGTTTCTAATGAGAACCCTAGTACCTGGCAACCGGAGTAACATTATAAGTACAGGTTACTATAATTCATTTTATTTGTCAGCACATTCCCCTACCTTAACTAAATTAAATCGTAAGGACTAACATCAAATCTTGTTTTAATCACTTCAGATTTTCGACCAAAACCTCAAACGGTGCCAGATCAACAAAGACAGATGAAAATACAAGTGGTAATGATAGAGTCGTTGCTTAGACTGTTCAAGATTTGCTCTGAAAAAACGACACCTGTGTCGCTTACTTTAGAAGACAAATATGCTCTACAAACCATATGGCTTTTAGAGTAGAGAAAGTCCAGCTTATCCTGACACTAGCCGCGTTTTGAGATTTCAAAGATAACATAAAATTTTGGAAATTGTCTTCAAAGTGCAAAAAAAAATGGAACAAAGACGCCTTTGCTTTTAATCTTGCTTAGCAACGTGGCCGCTTATAAGTGACTTTAAAATGGTGTTGCTCCTCTTTCTTCAATCTCTTCCTTATCTATTTGAATAACTAAAGAAGGTACACAAAGGTGTGAAATAGATAATGACTGTTTTTTTTTTTTTCCACATAACCGGAATGCAGGTTATTGTGAACTACGTGTCGTGTTTTTCGTGGGCTCATGATTTCTAGAGTATGCTTCTCCCATAAATCGGGATAAAAAAGAACTAATTCTGAAGAACTTTTCTGTTGACCACGAAAGAAACAGACGTCGGACAAAATGCATGGTGCTTTTGAAATCCTGAACCACGCAACACCACATGTTGTACATTAGATAGGTCATCATTCCCAAAAGAAAAGAGAGTAAAACTATCAACAGCTAAGGCACTATTCTTTTTTTTTTCTGCTTCATTGACTGCTTGTTTCTTTCAACATGACTACAGGTGGAACACGAACAGAGTTGCCCAACTGCATTTGAGGAATTAGGTAGGTTAGAAGAAGAGGTGGATTCAATCTCTGATGAAAGTAGAGTGATTTCTGTAAAGCAAGACAAGAAAACGCAACAGGAAATCAGTAGACACCAGCCTCCTGAGAAGCGAATAAAGTATGCAACGCGAGGGATGATGCATTCCTATTGCGAGGCTGAAGTTCCAGACGATGACCATTATATTTGTAAGTTAAAATGCTGTTTTTATTGACCATTTAGACAGTGTTACTGATGATTTATTACTTAAATACAAAATGCATGTGCTTTCTATATTAAAAAGAGCACTCTAGTTTCTGTATTGGTTAAACTTTGCGGGTCAGTTAAACAAACTAAAATATCTCTTTGCGAAAAGACGTTTCTTTTTCTCTCTCCATGAATACAATTTAAGTAAGTTTTACACAAGTCTTTTTACACAAGTCTCCTTCTGGGGAGACACACAATAGGGCAATGGGGGTGGGACAGGGGGGTCGGAGTCTCCCGCTTCCCGTGCCACGCTCTCCCGCCTCCCGTACTTGTGTCACATGCCCCCTTGCCTCCCGACTCCCGCCCTCCATTGTGTTGCTCCCGTCTTCAGGTTAATCAAGAGGATCAGAAACCCGGGTTTAACTTTCAAACAGAGCTAAAACTTAATATTCTTGTTCTTTTCGGCTGACCTCTGTTTTGACTGGGGATCATTAGTTCCCGATGAAAGCTGCTACTAGTCAGTTTTCTTACTAAACTAAGTTTCGCTAACCGGGTTATCACAGTTTGATCGCCGCTTCTGACATCTCGTCATAGAGACGAAAGTCTCAGTTCAATATGTGATGTAACAGCTATTGCCAATTCAAATTCAAATGAAAAAATCAAGAGGTAGACGTAACGTTTAAAGTCTGCTTCTTCTGTATTCGTGCTTGCTTTCCCTTTTTGACGTAAGTAGGACTAAGTATTCGTAGTTAGTACATCAATTGTTGAACCGTTTGCATTTTGAGCGTTCAGTTTAATTGCTAGTGAGGCATGATTGAACAGTCTTGTTCGACCGATTATCAGATTTGTTCGATGGGTTGAAATCGTCTTTTAACCTTTGCGGTTAGAAAAAGTATTCCATGCGCCGGGGAGGACGCACTGACCTCTTCCTACTTCAAATTTTTATTGTCGATGTCTTTTGATATCCACAACGTTAGTACATGTTTGATTGGTGCTAGGTTGTACTATGTTGCACTCCTTTGCATGAGTTGTCCAGATTGTGTAATTCTATCATTGACTGAATTTTCTGTATTTATTTGACAACGCTTCACCAGCACCAAACAAACTAATGGTGATTCCTCTCCTAAATCGTCCTACTTCAAAAGTTGAAAAATGTAGGGATCTTTTGCTTGAGAGAATTAAAGTGCATGTAATCCGCACTTTTGGCAGCTGCAAATATGTTTAATTAACGTGTATAATACAAACAGCACACGAAATCACACCTACCGTGTATTTCGTAGTCTTTTGCTATCATTTTGTCTTTGTTGTCTATAAAATCCAATCTGATGGCTTGCCATGCTGTTTGATTCTGGCCCTATCCTAATGGGAAGTGCCTTAGCCTTATTCAAAATAAAAAATTGCGTCGAAAAGTGGACAACTCCGCACTCTCCTGCGCGCTCACTGAAGCGGCACCACGAGGCAAGTCATAAGGAACGAGCTCCCAAAAAGGTCTACCATGAACGGATTTTTCGTGGCCACAACGGAAAATACTGAGACCGATTAATATGGTCTTTGACGACATTTGTCACAATTGACCTGAATGACCCGAAATCACTTTCTTTGTTGGAGATTTTCAATAGCTACAACTTACCAGACACTGAATCTCATGACCAAAGACGTCATCAATTTTGAAGAGATTCACAACTTTACCGGAAGTAATGCTGTTTTTCCAGCTCGGGTACAAATTTACGTTTTCTTGCCTCCGAAAATGTTTTTAAACATTGGTAGATTTAACTGGAAATTTCAAAACCTTTCTAGATAAGTGTTTATGACTGAGTAATACCCAGTAATAAACAACAAACTATCGCCTTATTTATTTCTGCTCCCGGTTCCCGCTCTCATGTAGATACCGCTTCCCGCCCCTTGTTCTCCCGCTTCCCTCCCTCTCCCGCCCCTTGTTCTCCTGGGCTCCCGCCCCCCTGTCCCCCTCCACACAATATGACATTTGTTAGTTAAAACTCAAAAACTCAAGGTGATACACATTATGAATGTGTGACGTTGGCCTCTGTATTTATTCGAAGATTATCCGATATTTATCCTCAAAAGGGACTTTTCTATCTGTAATTCGAACTTTTCACTATATTTAGTTTGCGAAGAATGTCAAGACCTTCATTATGGTGACTGTCCAGTACATGGGCCTTTGCAAATCATAGCTGACAGGATTACAGCAGAAAATTCAAATCTGTCGATTGCATTGTCTTCACTACCGGCAGTTCTGGAAATAAAGACTTCGTCAATTCCTGGAGCCGGTTTAGGCGTTTTCAGTATTACTCATATTCCGAAGCAAGTTCGGTTCGGCCCATATAAAGGGAAGAAGATAAAATGGGAGAGCATTACTGATGAGATGAATACATGTTACATTTGGGAGGTAAAGTGACATTCCTCTGAATTGTTTCCTCATCTGGCAAACTTTTTTCATCTTTCGAAGGCTAATCAGATGCCAGATACTGTTCTAAAGCGGGAAAACCATGTAAAGACATTACGCACTTCTATTAGCAAGCTGGGTAATTGAAAGTTTTCTTTGCATTAACTATTTGTAAATGATTTAACAAGGAAACCACATTTTAAAATACAAAGGTACCTATCGCTAGACCCAAGAATGAATGGACGAGTAACATATACCAAATAATCACCAAAGTCAGGTAGCTAGTGATGGATATTCACAACGCCGCTTCGCAACTCGTTAAATGTCCACTGCAAGCCACCGTCATTGAGATAAATAGTTGTTTTAGTGTATACTAAAACAGTGAGACAACATAACTTGAAAAGATGATTAAAGTAATTTATTCCTGCGACGATAACAGCATTTTTGGGCACAAATCCTGCGCACGTTGCTCAGAGGCGAATAACAAAGAATTTTTGGAATTGGAATAGCTAATCTGAGCAAGCCTTCAACACTATCCGCTGTTTTAGTATCCACTTAATATATGTTATTAAACGTTTTGTTGTGTAGTATCGCTGAGTATTTTGACGAGTTGTGAAGTATTTTGACGAGCCCGTAGGATGAGTCAAAATACAAATAACGGGCTTTCTTTGCAGTTTCAATAGAACTGTCGTATCCCCAACTTATTAAAAGAATGCTTTTCCGCTATGGGTTGAACATTTTCAAATACAAAACTGTAAACGATGGAAAATTCGGGTCGAAATGGACAGATCATGGTCGCTGAAATTAACAACTAAAAATAAAGTTCGCGTTAATTTCGAATTATAAGGAAGTGGATTCATTCTGTGTTTTTGCAGATTGTGAGAAGTGGTAAGTTAAGTCATTTCGTGAATGGGCACGATGAAAGCCAAAGCAACTGGATGCGATTTGTAAATTGCTCTCGCTGCGAGGACGAGCAGAATATGGTGGCTTTTCAGTTTAGAGGCGAGATCTACTACCGTACTTACAAATCAATCAATCCAGGTGAAGAACTGCTGGTATGGTATGGAGAAAGCTACGCCAGAGATCTGGGTATATCACTTGTTGATGATCAGGATCGAAGCAGTACAAAAAGTATGTTAAAAAATGATTCGTTGACTAAAATAGAATTACTTTCTGTACGACTCCAAGTGTAAAGTTATAGAGGTTGATTAGCCTTGATAACAAAATAGAACGAAAAGATATGTTACGATAGCCAGTCACGACAGCATGCACACAAATTAAGAGCCTAAATTCATTTTGATGCCGTATGTATAAAAGATTTTTTTTTCTTTGTTAGGTGTTATCGACTCATGTGATGGTTGTGGAAAGATGTTTACTTCCATAAACTTTCTTCTCAGACACAAGAAACATTACTGTTCAATAAGAACTGAGACAAGAAACTGGCAATGTAATATTTGTGAGAAGAAATTTACTTCATTGGATCATTTTAACAGACATATCAGTTTTCACGTTAATGAGCAGCAAAACCCTTCCAAAACGTCGTTCCCTAAAAACAAGTACCTTTGGACCGACAAGGGTAAAAGTTCACACAAGCGTTCACAAAGTGACAAGTCGTTAAACCATTCTAGCGCTCTGACAATGCACCACCATACTCAGAGAGGTGAAAAGCTACACAAGTGTACACAATGTGGCGAGTCGTTTCAACAATCTGGTCACCTGACCAAGCACCTCTGCACTCACACAGGTGAGAAGCAATATCAGTGTACACAATGTTGCAAGTCCTTTAGCAACTCGTGTGACCTGACCAAGCACCTCCGCACTCACACAGGTGAAAAGCCATATCAGTGTACACAATGTTGCAAGTCGTTTAGCNGAATAGCTAATCTGAGCAAGCCTTCAACACTATCCGCTGTTTTAGTATCCACTTAATATATGTTATTAAACGTTTTGTTGTGTAGTATCGCTGAGTATTTTGACGAGTTGTGCAGTATTTTGACGAGCCCGTAGGATGAGTCAAAATACAAATAACGGGCTTTCTTTGCAGTTTCAATAGAACTGTCGTATCCCCAACTTATTAAAAGAATGCTTTTCCGCTATGGGTTGAACATTTTCAAATACAAAACTGTAAACGATGGAAAATTCGGGTCGAAATGGACAGATCATGGTCGCTGAAATTAACAACTAAAAATAAAGTTCGCGTTAATTTCGAATTATAAGGAAGTGGATTCATTCTGTGTTTTTGCAGATTGTGAGAAGTGGTAAGTTAAGTCATTTCGTGAATGGGCACGATGAAAGCCAAAGCAACTGGATGCGATTTGTAAATTGCTCTCGCTGCGAGGACGAGCAGAATATGGTGGCTTTTCAGTTTAGAGGCGAGATCTACTACCGTACGTACAAATCAATCAATCCAGGTGAAGAACTGTTGGTATGGTATGGAGAAAGCTACGCCAGAGACCTGGGTATATCACTTGTTGATGATCAGGATCGAAGCAGTACAAAAAGTACGTTAAAAAAATGATTCGTTGACTAAAATAGAATTACTTTCTGTACGACTCCAAGTGTAAAGTTATAGAAGCTGATTAGCCTTGATAATAAAATAGAACGAAAAGAAATGTTACGATAGCCAGTCACGACAGCATGCACATAAATTAAGGGCCTGATTACATGAGCCGGGCTGATTTCTTTTGTTTTGGTGTTCGCCAAAGCGTGAAAACAAAAGAAATCAGCCCGGCTAAACGGGCCAGCCCGGCTCATGTAATCAGGCCCTAAGAGCCTAAATTCATTTTGATGCCGTATGTATAAAAGATTTTTTTTCTTTGTTAGGTGTTATCGACTCATGTGATGGTTGTGGAAAGATGTTTACTTCCATAAACTTTCTTCTCAGACACAAGAAACATTACTGTTCAATAAGAACTGAGACAAGAATCTGGCAATGTAATATTTGTGAGAAGAAATTTACTTCATTGGATCATTTTAACAGACATATCAGTTTTCACGTTAATGAGCAGCAAAATCCGTCCAAAAAGTCGTTCCCTAAAAACAAGTACCTTTGGACCGACAAGGGTAAAAGTTCACACAAGCGTTCACAAAGTGACAAGTCGTTAAACCATTCTAGCGCTCTGACAATGCACCACCATACTCAGAGAGGTGAAAAGCTACACAAGTGTACACAATGTGGCGAGTCGTTTCAACAATCTGGTCACCTGACCAAGCACCTCTGCACTCACACAGGTGAGAAGCAATATCAGTGTACACAATGTTGCAAGTCCTTTAGCAACTCGTGTGACCTGACCAAGCACCTCCGCACTCACACAGGTGAAAAGCCATATCAGTGTACACAATGTTGCAAGTCGTTTAGCAACTCGAGTGACCTGACCAAGCACCTCCGCACTCACACAGGTGAAAAGCCATATCAGTGTGCGTCATAGGGCAAGTCGTTTAAACGATCTGGTCACCTGACCATTCACCTCCACACTCACACAGGTGAAAAGCCATATCACAATGTGGCAAGTCGTTTAACCGCTCTAGTTACCGGACCGTGTATTTCCGCTCCCACACAGGTGAAAAGCCTTAGCAATGTACACAATGTGACAAGTTGTTCAGGCACTCGAGTGGCCTGACCAAGCACCTCCATACTCACACAGGGCAAAAGCCATACCAGTGTACACAATATTGTGGCAAGTCGTTTAACCGCTCTAGTAGCCTTACCGTGCACCCCCGTACTCACACAGGTTAAAAGCCGTATCAGTGTGCACAATGTAACAAATCGTTTTAACAGTCTTGTCACCTGACTATGCACTTCCGTACTCACGCAGGTGAAAAGCCCTTTCCGTGTACACCATAGGGCAAGTCGTTTAACCAGTCTTGTCACGTTACTAAGCATCTCCGTGCTTACGCAGGGGAAAAGCTATATCAGTATACACCATAGGGCAAGTCGTTTAACCAGTCTTGTCACGTTACCAAACATCTCCGTACTCATCACACAGTTTAGAAGCCATATTAGTAAACAAAATGTGGGAGGTTGTTTGAGCGATCTTGCAATCTGACCCGGCACCTCGGTACCTATTTAAATGATAGCCGTATCAATGTACTCAGCAAAAAATTAGGCCTTGAATCAGTTTGACGAAAAAACTGAGCATAGTGTGTAATTGTGTTTAACAAGTTTAATTTACAATAAACCATGGTACTAAACCAAGTGAAAATCGTATCCAGTCGATGAACGCAAAGACATATTCCAACGCATGTTTAGAATTGACATTGAGACTGGATGAATAGCCATGGAACTAAAAGTTAAATCTGTACTGAAAGTCATATCTGCAAAAGTAAAGGATTTCAACAATCGCAGCATAATTGTTAAAGAAGGCTCGCGGATACCTAATATTATTAATGAACACCTTGCATTAGTCGGAAACAGACTTGCTAATAACCTGCCTGCATCATATAGACTATGTGGATAATTGCAAATCTTCAACTTCATCCTTTTTTCAACCTGTTTCACCCGAAGCCAAAAATATTACTTGTACCGAATCAGTGATAAATCTTATGGTTTGTACTCCTCACCAACCAAATTATTCAAATGTTCGAGTACCGTCAGTACTGGCTACTGTCCTTTCAGAGATACTTAATACATCCATTCTATTAGGGACTTATCCATCAAAGCTCAAAATTGCTAAAATTACACCAGAATTAAGAGTGACGATGATACTGACACAAACAACCATAGACCTATCTCTTTACTTTCAAACTTTAACAGAGTATTGGAGAAAATAATTTACAATAGATTGAAGAGCTACATTAAGAAACACGAACTTTTGTATTCCTCACAATACGGCTTTCGTAAGGGACATTCAACCCAACACGCAATATTGGACATTGTTAAAGATATACAGGCAAACATAAATCAACGATGGCTATCTTGTGGAATATTCATTGATCTCAAAAAAGCTTTCGACACCGTCGATCACGACATTTTACTTAATAAACTCAATCACAATGCCTTAGC